TCCCCTCCCCATTCTGCGCAGTCAGGCTCAGCAGAGGGAGGGGAGCAGTGCTGCCCCATTCATGGTGCCGCTGGCCTGAGGGAGCGTCACGGGTCGAGGTGAGTCCTGCTGGGGACAAAAGTGCCCATCAGCCTCCGCTGGACAGTTGGGTCTCAGGCCCTGGTGCAGTGGGTCCTTGTGTGTGGGGGGTCCTTCACCACCCTCCCCTCCCTGTGCCCTCTTCTGTGGAGCAGGCAGGCCAGGTCAGCGCCAGCGGGTCCAGCAGGGGGTGAGCAAGGACACACAGACTCCCCCCTCCCACCCCAATAGCCAGTGGCAGGCCTTGGCTGCTTCAGGCCTCCACCTGCCTTGCACTGCCCGCCCTGCGACGCCTTCGGGTCCCCTATGGTGGTTGCCTCCTCCCCCTGCTCCCTGTCTCCCCCCAGGGCCCTGGCGCCTGTGCCCAGCTTGCTGCTGGGCCTAGAGAGATGAGCAGGCTACCCATGACCTTGGTCCTCTTTTCACATGTTTGGATGTTACTCCAGTTGGGCTCTCGGGAGCCTGAGGGGTCAGGGCGGCTGCTCAGTTGACTGTGAGGAGCCCAGGGCCTTCGGGGAGGGGCATCTAAATGCCCTCCCTGCTCAGCACCCCACGGGGCTCCTGTGCTTGTCCCTCCACCCCATAGGCCTGTGCCCTTCCTTCCCCCGCGTCCTGCTCCTCTGTCAGGGCCCAGCTCAGCACGCCCTCCCCCCAGTGCCAGATGTGGGTGCAGAGGGAGGAGTGAGCACTGGGCTTCCCCGTGGCCTGGACTTTGCCTGCCCTGCGCCTCCCCTTACCACCAGCCCCCCGGCCCCCGTCAGCCAGGGCGCACCTCCAGCCATGGTGTGTGAGGGAGGGGACCCTGCGGTCAGCCTGTGTTTTGACCTCAGGGAGGTTGTGGGCAGGTGAGGGAGAAGCCAGGTTCCTCAGAGAAACCAGCAAGAGACCCTGCAAATGGGGTGGCCACAGGGCCTCTGACCCGCCACCCTGTCCTGTCCCTAACCAGTCTGTGTGGCCTTTTGGGTTCTGGGTTTCAGAAAGCTGCCCCCTGACAGGGCTTGCCACCCAGAAACTTGATCTATTTTCCTCCAAAGATGTACAAGAGCTCCACTTGTAAAAATAGCTCACCTGGCTCCGCTGAGCTGGCTGTTTCCATGGCAACCCACTCCTCCCCAGGAGCCCCCCATGAAAGAAGGTCCCAGCCCTGGCTCAGGTGCCCACTGGGCTCTTCAGCCAGAGCAGCTCTTAAAGGGCTCAAGGGGAGCAGGGGTGGGGCCACAGTGGCTTCCTCTGGCTCCAAGTCGTTTGTGGTCTGAAGTACATTCAAGAGTGACTATGCACAGAAATGAGCTGTGCTGATGGTGACAGGGATATGGACAGGCTGATGCCAGGAAATCCCGGCTCTACACTGTCATGTGTGGGGAGCTTAATGTCCTTTTCCGGAGGAGGCACTCATACCCGCAGCCGGTGTGGCTCAGTGGATAGAGTATCAGCCCAGGGATGGAAGGGTCCGGGTTTGATTCTGGTTGAGGTGCGTGCAGGAGGCAACCAATCGATGTGTCTCTCTCACATCCCCATTTCTGTTTCTCCCACTCCCTTCCCCTCTAAAAATCAGTGGAAAAATGTCCTCAGGTGGGAACTAACAATGTACACGTAAGTATGTGCCTATCCATCCCCAGTGTACGGACAAGTGCGCCTAACCAAACCGCATCCCAGAATCACCTCCTCTGACCGGTCAGGAGGCATATGTGCCAGGCTTGGAGGGGGGACAGAGGGGCTGTGTGCAGGTAGGAGTCTCAGTGACTAACTAGAGAGCTTCTGGGGACCAGCTCCTAGGCCAGCCAATCAAATTACGATCAAAGACAGAGAACACAGCTCGGTGTTCAGCTCAGCCACGCTCAGTGCGGTCACTCAGCAGTGGCCCCATGTCCTTGTTCCCGGGGCCTGTGCTATGTTACATGGCAAAGGGACCTGAAGGGGTGACCGAGGGTCTGAGATGGGGAGACTATCCAGGTGGGCCCATGTAGTCACAAGGGTCCTTAGAGGGAGGCAGGCAGGTCAGAGTCAGGGAGACACTGAAGATGCTCCTCTGCTAGCTTTTAGGGTGGAGGAAGGGGCCACAAGCCAAGGAATGCAGGCACCCCACAACCCGGGGCAGCCTGACGGCCCCTCCCGAGAGCTGCTGTGCGCTAAGTCCTGGCCTTGGAGGGAGAGGGGCTCCTTTGTGCCCGGCAGTGGCTTTGTCTGAACCCTGATTGCAGTTGCTGCTATTCTGGTGTTAACATAGTTGCAACATTTCTGTAGGATTTCACCTCTGGCGATAGCTCGGTGTCTGCTGTGTTGCAGTTTGGATTGTTCTTTGCTCCTCGCAGATGTTCATTGTGGCTGAATTTTATTCCCAGTGGGAAGTGGGAACAGAGAGTATATTTGGGTGATAAAAGCTCTAGAATCCCCAAGGCCATAAGCTTGAGAACTGCAGGCCTTAGCAACTTTATACATACAAGCGTGTGCCTTGCTTTGCACTGAGTCTGCCGCCAAGGGAGTCCCTGTCAGAGGGGACAGTGGGCAGTGGAAGCCGAGGAGCTATTTCATGGCCCTTGCAGGGCATCTGCCGTTCACCCCTCAGAAGCGGAAGCTAATTCAGTGCCGTCAGTTCTTTGCTCCGATTTGAGGAAGGTCAGACGAAGTAGTTCTGTTTGCATCTCTGAGTTTCGTCTACTTTGCCCGTGTGGGTTTGCTCCTTGCAAAGGACCCTTGAGCCCTAACTGAGACTTGGGGACTCAGCATGGCCAGAGTTCACCATTTTGGAGGCAGAGTCCCCTTCATTGTTCAGATCTGCTTCCTCCCCGGCGTGGGGTGTTCACGCTGCCGTGTCAGTACTTGTCTGAACAGCCTGAGACACTGGGAGGCTGGGCCACATGTCAGCTCCTGAGCGACACCCGTCCTCTCCTTGAGGACTGGCGGGTGGAGGGACAGTTGTGGGAGTGAGGCCATCGCCGGTCATTCATCGCCTTGGAGCTGGTGGGTGCTGCCGTCAACATGTCCGGGCTGGGTTTAGGGATCCTGTTCTCCCCAGCCCCTGGCCCCAGCCCTGCCAGGCCTCTGACCTCTCTGTCCCTGCCATCTGCCCATTATCCACCTGCCACCACACACTCCCTTTTACCAGGGACGAAGGCCCAGGCTCCTCGGCCATGTCAAAGGCCCTCACCATCTGCACTCCCCAACTAGCTCCTCTGTGCCCCCCTACTTCTCACTTCCTTCTCCAGATCCCGCCATCCCGTGCATGTCACAGCAAACTGACAAGCCTGACAGATCTCCTGGGATGTGCCCAAGATCGGTCATTTACTCACCCACCCACTCACTCCGTCCTTGCCCCACTTCCCCTACCCTCTCCTGCCTCCCTCGTTCTCCTCCTCCCACTGTCTATCTGGAGGGACTCACTCCCCATCCTCAGAGAACGGCTGTGCTGGTCTGTAATCGCTGACCGGGTGTCTTCCCATCCCAAACCCAGTGACTTGGGAGCAGAACAAGCACATCCCAGTCCCTGGCAGCTGGACTTGAACTTGGACCCTGAGAGCGGCTTACTAGGGCATGCTGCTTAATAACAAGTGAAGTAGATATGTGGTTCCCTCCCTCGCCCTTCGGGTTGCTAGACGTACTGAACCTGGAAAGGTGATAGGAAGGTGGCATTGTAGCTAAGAGCCCGAAGTCTGAATTCTAGATGTTCCAGAACTGCCTCACCTCGTGACCCTGGGCATGCCAGTGACCCTCTCTGCCCCAGCCCCACCTCACTAGGCCGTCGTGGGCACTAACAGGCAGTGCCCTGCCCAGGGCCTGGCACCAGCAAGGCAAGATGCACGCTGGCTGTGGAGCCTTTCTAAGGCGACCCAGGCCAAGGCGAGGCCTTCCGTGCAGACTGACCTGCAGATCCCGTTCTGCCCCCTGGTTGCAGGGCCCACTCTGGCGGCCTGTCCTCCGGGAACCTGCACTTCTCCCTGGCCGAACGGAAGTGATAGTCAAGGTCTGCCCACCACCGACCCCTGTGAGGCGCCGCGTTCACATGAACAAAGCCAGTGGCCCAGGGCCTGGCCCAGCACCTGTGGTCTCCGACACTGGGTCATGCAGGGCTGTAGGGGGGCCGGGGGGGCGGGGGGCCCTGCCCCTGGCTCGAGGCTCCTTATGGCCGCCAGGGACAGGCTGTGCAATGCATGCTGCCCGCCACCCCTGCTCAATTGGGCCCCACGTCACTGGCTGGCTTGGCCCTGCCACCTGCTCGGGGCAGGCTCAGAGCAGTGACTCAACCGTGGCCACCCACAGACATCCTGCCCCCTGTGGGAAGAGGTCTATTCTTTCACAGTTTGCACCTTTTTAAAAAGGGCTGTATCTTGGGCTACAGATTCCTTCATCTAAAGAGTTTCTTGCTGAGGATTTCCGAAACGAGGCATTTCAGAAACCCCTGAGCAGTCGCAGGCTCTGGCTCCCACAGGCCCTCAGCCTCCTGGTTGTTCCGTGCTCCGCATTAAAGCAGCAGCAGGGCCCGGACCCCCTGCCCCTGGGCCCCCTGGAGGCCCCCACAGCTCTGTGACCGCTTGGCTGGCAGTGGGCCAGGACCTCGGGCACCCCAGCCTCCCAGGAAAGGGCACTTGAGGGCACTGGGCAGCTGAGAGAGGAGGGGGTGGGGAGGTCAGCGTTCACCTGGCAGCGAGGCCCTGGCACCTGGTGTGGAGGAAGTGGCTCTGGAGGCAGCGACTAGCTGGGTGGCCCGGGGCGTGACTGCACTTCTTTGAGCCTCAGTGACCTCTTCGGTCCCCCCTTTACATCCCTTCCCACACCAGAGAGGGCCTGTGCCCACCCGGGAAGGCTGGGGGACCCCTCACCCTGGCAGGGGCAGGACCTGGCACCGTCAAGGGCACTCTCCTCCCTCGAGCCCGCAGGCCCCTCATGCTGTATCAGTGATCACCATGGCAACTTTCTCTCTGCAGATGACTCTGGGGACGAGGACGACGACGAGGCCGCCTCCCCCGCTGACAAGGCGGAGCTCCAGAGCACCATCAAGAACCTCTCCCTGAAGCTCGATGACCTCGGCACGTGCCACGACCTCCTCGCCAAGCACGGCGCCGCGCTGCAGCGCTCCCTGAGCGAGCTGGACGGCCTGCGCATCCCCTCTGACGGCAGCGAGAAGCTCAAGGCGGTGAACGAGCGGGCCACCCTCTTCCGCATCACGTCCAATGCTATGATCAACGTGAGTGCCCCGCCCCCCGCTGCCCTGGCCGGGGCTCCCCCAAGGGGATGTGTGGGTGGCTGGGGTGCTTGACAGACCAGGTGGCTTCAGGTCGTTCCCCAGAGCTGGCGCCCTCCACTCTGGATCCTTTACGTCACCTCGTCCTCCCAGAGGTGGCTGGGCGAGGACATCCTTTTTAACGGTTGGTGGAGACCGGGGTTGGGTCAGAGAGGGGAAGCCACACAGAGGTGGTGGCCCAGGTCCAGGGAACAGGGTCCAGGCAGCCATCGGGCCGACCAGAGACAGTGGGTAGTCCTGGTGCCCAGTGAGCCCCAGGCGGGGTCCAGCCTCCAAGGCCAGGAGGGAGAGCGGAGCAGGGTCGGAGTCGGGGCCAGGCTCTTTGCCTGACACCAGGAAACCCAAGGGTGGGGGAAGATGGAGGCTGGAGTCCACCTGGGATCTTGGCCTGAGGTGGACTGGGCTGGGGGGATAGCGGACGCCCCTGCGCCCTGCTCCCGCCACACAGACTCCAGACTGGAGCGGCCGGGTACGAGGGCCTGGGGCTGAGGGACACCCTTTCCCAGAGACAGCCCATAGGTCCTGGCGCTCAGCAGGTGTGAGGACGCCCACGTGCTCAGGGTGTGGCTGGGCCGCAGGTCTGGGGCTGCCTGTGTGCCGGCCCCATCGTCAGTCTGCACTTGCATTTTCCTCTGACCTCCCCTCTCAGCTCACTGGGCTCCTTACTGCCCGACTCTAGGGACCCAGGCCCCGCATGCCCTGAACATGGATTAAGCATTTAACGATGCAACAGTGTTCCTGGTTCCCCACCCACACCAGGAGCACTGCCTGCCCCCGCCACCGCCACCCCCGCCCCCCATCCGCTGAGGCGGAAGCCACTCTGTCTGAGTGAGCAGTTTTGGTTTTTCCCCCCAATAATGAGCCTCAGCTGGTGTGAGGCTCGCCTGTGTGTGAAGCAGTGAAAGCAGCGGCCATCTGAGTGCAGAGTGAGTTGTCCGGTAGGAAGCGCAGCCCCTGGGGGGCGGGGGGTGACGCCCGTTTTCAGCTCTGGCACCAGGAGTCGGAGGAGTGGCAGGGAGCTGCGCTCAGGCTGGGCCCTGCCCACCTGCTGCGTGAACCTGACGCAGGGCCTCTCCCCGTCCAGCTCCAGGGGGATCGAGGTGAGGTGCTGGCCTGACAGGCCATGCTGGCATCCGCTCTGACTGAGGCTGGGTATGCACGTAGGAAAGGAGAGACTGCCGCCAGCCAGAGCCCACAGGGACACACATCCTCCAAAGGGCCCCGGGCAAGCAGCAGCGGCAGCAACACACACACACACACACACACACGTTCCCCACCATCACTGCTGACCATCACCCCGTCAGGTCCCACGTCCCATGGTTTTTCTACTGAAGCATCTTGGCAGGTCCTCCCTGCAAGGCCAGGGCAGTCCCCTGGCAATCCCTGGGGCCTGCAGCTGCCGTGCCTGGCACCGTGCCCACACACGGGAGCCTCGGTGAATGAGCGCGGTGACGATCGTAGGAGCAGTGAATGAGCCGCTGAGCGTCTGCACATTCCCTCGCGGGCGATTCTGAGTCTGATCAAAGGCGGCCCGGCAGTCCCCGCTGGATTACTGGCTGGGTAACTGCGAGTTAGCCTGTCACTGAGGAGGAAGCTCCCAGCACTAGACAGGACTGGTCTCAGACTGAGCCTGAACCGCCGCTGGCTGGGGGGTGGGACTGGGAGCCTGGGAGCCGGGATGTGCTCATGTGGTAGCAATGGATCAGTCATGTGGTTTAGGTGAATGATGGAATGGATACATTACCATCATGTGCTTTGGGTATTCATTTTTTTAAGTGAAAAAAAATTCAAGTTTTACTCTTTTTCCTATAACTTTATCTTTGTGGTGGAGCAGGGCCCTGGTTGGAAGGACAGGCCTCCGGGACGGTGGTGGTGGGACAGCAGCAGCCCGCCCGCTTTCTTCCCATCAGCCACATGAAGTCGGTGTCCTTAAGCTTCCTCCTCCTCCTCATTTGTACTATTTAGATGCCACCCTGAGGCCCAGAGCAGTCATGTTGCCCAAGGCTCACAGGCCCAGCTGTTGCATGAGCACTTGGGGTCACAGGCCTTGGTCCCTGGGTGACCCCAGCGTCTGTGCTCAAAGCCCGGGGCTCCATCACCTGTCACCAGACCTGGCACACGGGCTCCTGGTTGGCCTGGGCTCCCCATGGCTTGCCCTTGAGTTCTGGCCTTGCGGGCCCTGCCCTGGGCAGAACGCATGGTACTGCATGGTCACCCTGGGAGCAAGCCTGCCCTGAGTGGTCTGACTGTCCCCCACCCCCTGCCAGGCGCCCCTCCCGGCCTGTGGAAGCAGGTTCTGCCTGTAGGCCCGGGGCCAAGCATGGCCAGAGAAGTGCTGCTTCTGTGACTTTCGCTTCCACTTCCCTGCCGCCTGCGCCCTTGGGACCTCCCTGAGCCGCCCAGCACATCTCCTCTCAGTCGGAAGGCACTGGCGGCGGTGGTGTCTCCCGCAGTGCTGGGCCCCGGGGTGGGCTGAGCGAGGCAGACTGCTCCTGACCCAGATCCACACCTGGACTGGGAGAGGCGCCTCAGAGCTGGTGACTCTTGCAGAGCCTGGACTCGGCCCCTCCAACGACACGACCCCCGTGACCCTTAGGAGCCGTGAGTTCAGGTGAGCCCAGCTCACCCCGACCAGCCCTTGGCGACAGGGCAGCATGCGGCTGCTGGTGGACACTGAGGCACAGAGGCCCTCCATGACCCCTCCATGGTCGGCCGGGCCCTGTAACCATGGAGATGATGGGGTGTGTTGGAGGTTAAAAGACCTTAGGAGGAAAGAGCAGGCTGGTGGGGTGGAACAAGAGGTCATGGAAGCA